TTAATATTTATATGGATTTATTTATAATATTGGAATATACAGCTACTATAGTAATTAAGTTAATATTTTTATTAATAATTTTACTAACAGCAACTTTTTGTATATACTGGTATAGATCACTCAGGCAGCAAACTGTCGTTATTTTACCGTCAATATGTCGTCATTATTGGTCAGTAACATCATGTTTTCTTCCCAGATAGCCAAACCTGCGTGAACAGATTTCGAGCAGAACTTACTATCAACTTTTGATGGCAAATAGATAACAAATTTGATGCAGGATCTGTTATATCAAATCTTGTTGCCAAATTGCCGCCAGATATACGGCAGAGCTTGTTGTCGGATAATTGTTGCAGATTTACAGCAAAAACCGCGCAGAGCTTGTAGCGATTTGACGGCAGAATAGCGGCAGAAACCGCGCAGACCTTGCTGCGCTGCAAGCTTTGCGCGGTTTTGCTGCAAATTTGGCATCAATTGCCTGACAGCAAGATCTGTCGCAAAAATCGTAGCCTAATGTAGTCACAGATGGCTATGGTTTTGCTGTGGGTTTTTCATCAAATTTGCTGCCAATCTGCACGCAGTCTGCGCTCAATTTGCTTACTGGGTTTAAGGTATTTAATGTCATGTTTGAAGACGTTAAAATGACTTTGCAAAATGACGTTACGATAACGTTTAATTTACCACCCTTATAGAAATATCATACTAAGAATCATTGATAATTTACAATACTGAAAATAAGTAATTATCAATGATTCTTAGTATGATATTTCTATAAGGGCGTATTATAGATGAATTCCTTTTTCGGATAAAAAGATAAGTTTGCTATTCTTATAGATATATTTTCATATAATAATAACGTTGCAACATTGCATATTGCATATTGCAGTGTTGCAGAGACATTAATTTGAAATATTACTTTAGCAATATTACAGCAATATTTAAAAAATATTACAAATATAATATAATATTTTTTACTTATTTACTAGTTATTTCTGTTACCCAATGAGCAAACAATATTTAAAAAAACATTTGGAAAGTTATCTTTAAAAATAATGGGATAAGTTCTCTTTTTTCATTAAAATAATGTTTTTTAACGTTTGAAAGAAAGTTTTGTTTTTTAATATTTAATAAACATTTATTTTAACATTTAAGAGATGTTTTTCTAAATGTTAACGTTTAACATTTAAAAAACTTTTTTTAATGTTAATATTTAACATTTAAAAAATATTTTCTTAATGTTAGAATAAATGTTTATTAAATATTAAAACTAAAAACATTTTTTCAAACATTAAAAAACGTTAAAAAAAATCTTTTTAATGAA